TAAGACGGAAAATAGAGAAGGGTTAAAAGAGTGGTTCTTTGCCCCAAAATGGAGATATATTGAGGAAATCTACAAATTTCTCAGGCTTCTGGATTTGTTTTAAAATTGTGCTAGAAGTACAGAAAATACTTATGTATATCACAGCAAATGACCGGAATGGTAAGAATTTCTGGACAAGGCAGAGTTTAGCAGGAAAGCTAAAAGGAATATTAAGCAATATTACTTCATGTCATAATCATTTAAACTTCTCTGTTCATGCTGAATGCAATCAGACACTTCTGTATTTTCTTTGCAATTTTCAAGGGGTTATGGATAAATTTTTTTGAGGTAGTTTGCCATAGAACAACTACTTATTTATTGGATAAAAAGCAATATATTTTTATCTGAAACTGGAATTTGCAATGCCCTTCATTACACTTATTCCATTGAGTGCTTCTGAATGGTGCTATTATTTATTGCAAATGCATGAAAATATCTTTTTTTAAAAAGCTGGAATTGGAAAGGTTCTTCTTATTATTATTATTTATGATAAATAAAGAATGAACATCCTTAAACTGATTCTGTCTAAGTATCTGACAGGTATTTCTAAAAACAAATTTGAAACTGTCATTATACCAATCTTTATATAATTTTTTTTTGAGGGTATGTTGGACAAACAGTAAAAATAATTTTCCTGAACATTAATCCAGTATTCTATGAAATAAATATATTCATTGCAACATTATGATATAGCAACTTAAATTTTAGTTCAGAAATATATGACTCCTGTAGGACTGAATTTATCTGTGATTTCAAGTCCCAGGATATGAGTAGAAAACAGTGGATGTAATATCCAGTATATAAAAATAGAAAACTCTCCTTGTTTCTAACAGTATAAGAACAAGGGATCATCAAATGACGTCATCCCTGAACAGGTTGAAGCAGGTAAACAAGAAAAATATTTCTACCTGAATGCATACACTGTGGAAACTCTGCCAAGCAGCATTCCAGATATCAAATGTGCAAATCAGTTCAAAAAGCAATACAACAAACTCATGGAGAGAAACACATGGGGACTTTTGCAAACAAAAATATCTTTAGCTGCAGAAATCCCTGGACAGTTTCTTAAAAACTGGGAGGATGAAGCAGGCAAAATATAGAACAAGCCTGTACCTTAAAGGCTTGAATTGTTCTCGCAGGTTCCATCCAGTCAGCTGACACTTCCTATTGCCAAAGACAGACCATTCAGCAAACAGACCCTTGGTCTGGTCAGGTATGCCCTTCCTATTTTCTTGCATATCATGCAGTCCCCCAGAACCAAGTGAGTCTCCCATTCACTCACTTTGTCTGGACATGCAGATTTGTTCACACAGCTGAATTTCATTCCCACAATGGAGCTGTTGTGTAGACTCTTATACAGATAAGGTGTGGGTGCTGTAAATTATTACCAGGTTAGTGTACTGTTTATTATCATTTACTTAGAAAACACTCCAAAGAAACAGCTATTGGGGAAAGTTATTCTTAAAAGAAAACTTGACTTTTCTTTTGCCATCATGTACACTGAGGATCTTAAGTCTTCTGCCATTACAGTTAGTAGAGAATCAATTTATAAATTACCATTAAATGACTCGTAGACTCAGACTTGAGTGTACTAGAAAGACTGAAGTTGTGTAGAAGATACATACACTGCAAGTACTATTTACATTGCCTTCTTTATATGTGGGGATACCTTCTGACAACATGTCCTCTAGCTATTGAGAACTTTTTCCATAAATAAGAATGGCTGCCAGAGCATTCCAATGCTCTACACTGCAGCAAGTTATTTGTGTCTTTCTGAATCTACATACTCCACTGTTTCTTGCGCATGTGCTTAAGTTTGCTCCAGGGAAAATTTTGTTTCCAGTTTCTTTTGCAGTATTACAATGAATTTTGGGGGCAAGATTTGACATTTCATAAGTAAATTTGTAGAATAAACTCTATTTCTGTCAAGAATTATTCTTTGGTTTTTTTTCCCCTGTAGAAATTCCATCATTAAATGTTATTTTATTATCTGCTTAAGTCCACCTGCTGAAAATTCTGTACACTAAGACAAGGTTTATTGATTGTTAATTAATACAGCATGTCAACCTTAATTTCTAAGTAGTTGAGTATAATCTTTATTTTTATGTGAATGACCATTTGCAAAATCAAAATCTGTAATTAATTGATATGGAGATACCTAATGTTCTTGCAAATTCAAAGCAAGAATCTGAAAATACAAAAGTCCAATGAAAGTAGGACCAAAAACTTCAATATTTTGTCTGGGAAGTCTTTTGTGTAGATATGTTTTCTGGGTCTGGCTGGGATGGATTTATCTTTCCTCATAGCGGACCATCCTGTGGGAGAGAGGAGTGAATAGCAGCTAGGTGAGAGTTTAGCTGTTGGCAAAGCTAACCCAATACACGACTCAGTTTTATTTCTATAAGTTAACTGGTAGTTCCTCTCCTGTTTATCTAATTCACAAGTAGTGATTAAATGAAAATAAGTTGACTTATTCTTCTCATTCTCACTCATGTTTTTACTTATTACTTCACAATCTTATTTGAAACCCAAAAAATCCTGTAGATCTTTGCCTTCTGATACTACATTAGCTGTTGCTCTATACAGCATGAACAAAGGAAGCAAAGCCTTTGATCCACACCTTTCAATGCCATGCATAAATGATCTTTATCTTGGGAAAACACATTTTGAAAACCCTAGAACAGCTAGAATTTACTGAAAAATATAATCAAAAGCAACATGCCATGGTAAATTTTCAATAGTTTTTAATATTATTTTTAAAAGTATATGCTTTTTACCTATACATTTTCTTCTGCTTTCCTCTCTTTTTAATAGTAAATACAATAAAGAATATCAACAATTAATTTTTTACTTTTATTTTTATAAACTTGTTCAAATTTGAAATGAATCTTAGTCTTTATTTTCCATTGCTTTAGGCTAACTCTTCAAACTATAAACAGGTTCTGAAAAGAGAAACTGGGTGTCAGGTTTACCAGATGATTTCTTTTATTTCCCCTGAGTAAATAGGATTTGATATTGAAGAGTATTCCAGTCTCTCTGATGATTATTGGGAAAAAAAAAACAAACAACCAAACCCCAAACAAAAAACAGCACCAAAACCTTTGGGTTTTGGTTATTAAGAGTTACTAAACTGTTATTAAGAGTCAGTAAAAACTTGAACAGTCTGTTGGGGGATTATCTGGAAAAAAATTGTGTTTCTGGCATCAGAGTTCAATGTAGATTACATCATAGATGACTACACCTGATCCGGTTAATTAGATATGGCTCTTTTTTTGAGATTTAGGTTAGTAAGAGCCTGGGCCCTAGAACTGCCTCCTCCTCACTGTTAAGGGAAACCCAGGACAAGAAACTCAAATATAAATATGTGCCCTGGGGAGATAAAGCCAGCTGCATATGCTCTTGTATACACATATTACCTTTGGAAACGCACCAGAATCTCATTGTTTTAATGGCAAGAAAATGCTAACTCCAAATTCATTTATTGCTTGTTTATATTCATTTATTCTTAAATGGTGTTCTCCCTTGGTGGTATGTGGTGAAGAACTCTGATACTGCATATTAAGAATGTTTTGGCTTGAGAACACTATAGTTCCTTATGGAATTTTTTCCTCTAACATTATAACACCAAAATCAACCTATACCAGGATTCCAGAATAGTGCCTTTGTTTTATTTTTCTCTTCCAAAGTAAGGTTAGTTTGGGAGATCAGATTCTGCTTTACCACTGCAACTTCTTAGGCTTAAACTCTCTTTATTCATTTGAAAAAAACTATTTATGTTTGGTTTCCCACTAAAGCTTAAACAGAGATTGAACTGAAACAAGATTTGCCACTGTCAGTAGGAACTCATCTATGCAATAAGACATTTATTTGTTTTAAAATATTGTAAAAGAAATATTTCTATTTCTGTGCCTTTCAAACAGTGTAAGTTAAATTTTTGTCTACCAATCACAACTCAGTTAAAGTTATTATTGTAATAATATCCTTCTGCTTATTACTCTCTGTGGAAAAGAGATAGAGATACTGATTCCAAAGCACTTCTCAGTGAACTTTTTTTAACATAATCTTACATTTTAATAATTACCTAGCAAGTAATTACCATGCTCCAAGATATATACTGAAATTTTCTATCTTGAGTTTCTGAATTATTTAAAAATAAATAAAACATGAGCAAAAAGGTTCTTACACTGAGATTAGAGAGATAATATGTCTGGGTCATATTAAAACAATAGTAGGAGAATAAATACTGTGACAGCTCGACAGGGATGGAAGGTTTTTATCTTTTAACAGGTGACATTTTGGTTCTACCTTCTGGGCTCTGTATGAAAGTAGACCAGTGCCAAAATACACCCAAAATTTACCCCAAAATTACAGTTTAGTGGAATATCCAACAAGTTTCATGGTTCATTTTTCAAATAAGATGAAGTCTGAGAGAAGGCAGGCTGAGTACAGGCAGTTTTGAGAAGAAAGAAACAGCCATTCCACAGCTCAGAAGAAGAGTTGCACGGACAGAGGCAAAGGAAAATGAATAAACATTGGGGTGGGTAGGTCATCTTGCAACCTTCTGAGTTGTGGTTCTGAAAGATCTGACTCTCAGAAAAGCACAGTTTTTCTGCAGAGGAAAAGGTTTCTTCTGCTTTTTTTTTTTTTCTGCCTCAGCAACAGTGGCTTTTTTTTCATGTTTTTAAAAGCTAATTATAATTGATACATGAGGAGTGTTGCGATTGCAAGGTCAATTACTCAGAAGTTAGAAGAATGTCAGAATTAAGGTTGCCTATACAGCCTTAATTAGTCTGTCTGAGACGTAAGTATTACCATCTATAATTACATTAGCACATGCAATTTTTTTTTCATAGCATTCTTTGCTCATTCAGTTCACAGACTGCCAATCAAGTTTTATAATGAAAGAGACTGTTGACTGTAGGATAGCCATGTAATTTTTTCTTTTTTTTTTTTTTTCCCAGAAAATGAAGATACACAGTTAATAAAGCAGGAGCTGAAAGAAGATTTAATAATTGTGATTGCTGGGTGCTTTCCGAAGAAACTGGACTTCCTCAGAGTGTTCTGTTGTGATTCTGCGTGAGTCACACTCCTGCAGTGTGGGTTTTTCATCTCTTCTGTGTCTGGTTGCTCTGATTTGGGGCTGGCGATTAACAAAGTACAATGTAACCATTCACAGGGGTTTATTGTAATGCATAAGCATAGGGTGTCAAACTAGGGTTACATTTGAAACCTTAATATTGGTATTTACTAACTTTGGAGTATTTGTCTGTCAATATTTTAATTTAGTGCTTCTTTTTCAGTGCTTTGTTTGTATTTTTCTTAGATGTTAAATGTAATTTAGCTATTCAGACCTTAATACCAATCTTGATTTTTGCCATTGTGACAAAAGAGTCTAGAATTGAAACACTTTGAAATATGACCATGCTTTTAACATTCAGAGTGAATTTGAGTCAGACCTGTGAACAGATGTGGCTTATTCTTACCTTTCCTTATCCTTCTTTCTTTTCTTCCGCTAATTCCTATATTTCATTATCCTTCCTTTCTGTAAAAAATGCAAATTTATTACCATAATAGTCATAAAGTTAATGTAAACTGTCTAAATGACCTCAGTTAGTTTTAACTATCTAGCCATGAAAGTCACAAAGCTTTAGAAAACACAGGTGTGATAAATCATACCTGACATGATTTATGTGTAGTTGCTCTTGTATGATGGAGAAGAACTTAGGCTAATATGTTACAGGCCCATTTCTCTTCATAATCCAATACCAGTGCTTTTATCTCACCAAAGTAAATATTCTTGGGGGAGCAGGGTGTGTCCTGGATTCTATTCCTTTCCATTGGGGCATTCCTACTGAGAAATCTTTCTGAAAGTATCTTAGATGCTCCACATAGTATCATTTTCCAAGGTCCTCTCTTGCTCTGTCTTCTGGTTCTCTGACGTGCTCCTGTAAGAAGCTGCACAACTTGTGATAGTTGCATGACAAGGATGTTTCTCATGGGTTCTGATGACATCAACGACTGGTGAAAGCTTACCTTGGATGTCAAGAACTGTCAGGAGAAAACCTGTATAAATATCACCAGGGTGGAGGCTCTCTCTGAATGCCTAAGCAAGGGAGCAGGCAGCAGCCATCTGCTTTGTCTTTTGGTTCATCTCTCTTTTGGTAAGAACTGCAGTGAATTTCCTGCTACTGACAAAAGAACAGTATCTACAGAAGATTTAGAATACAGGGTTAAAATAAAAAGTCATATCAAAGGCCTTGTTCATGACAATAAATAGTACCTGGTTGTTTCACACTGTTTTTTATAATTTGATTTCAGAATACTTTACAAAATAATTGGGTTTTGACCATATTTTCTTCAGTGTTTTGTCTAGTCTAGACTTAAATGTTAGTGTTCAAAAATATGCTATGTTTTCAGTATGCTTACAAAGTCCCGAGAGAGAAAGAATCAAGTATCTGCATGTCACATGAAACTTAATGATGAAACCATCAGACGATGAGGATCAAGGCACACTGCATGTAGTTTCTCTTCGGTAATCTCTCTTGTCATTTTAGTAACGCATATTCATCTGGAAACCTAGCTTAACCTAAGCTAAGAAAAAAAAGGAGTGAAAATAAGAACAGTTTCAAGAATTTTTCAAAATTGAGCAGCCTTTCTATGGATGGAAAACAACACTGGTTAATTTTCTAAATTACATAAAGGAAATCAGTATTATTAGTAGTATATATTCTATGTTAATGAAAGTCATGTAATCAAAAATTAGTCCCAACATCCAGAATCATGTCGGACTAGTTTGATTATCAACATATCCCAGTCTCTTGCCATTAAGATTCACAGTGGTGTTTTGACTAAAATTACATTCAGCTGCCAGTTTGGCTTTTACAGCTGCAGATGTGGGAGTAGCTTTTGTGTTGCAAGGATTTTGCTCATAGATAGTTTCATTAACATTTAGCCCAAAATCTTTTTGGATTCCTGTAACTTATTTTTCATATTAATCAAAAGCCTAAAATGTTGACTGACTGCTTTGGTCAAAGATGAGATATGAGTGTAGACTAGGAGTTTTACAATAAGTGTGTTTTTAAACAGAGATAATTTATTAAAAGATAAATTGGAAGAAATAATGTGTTTTGAAGGAAATTGAACTAATTTTTTTAACATTTCAAAAATGTTTAGAAGTCCTCTGCAACCCTTTTAAAGTTTCATTAATTTGAATTTCAGCTTTTAAAACTATTTTCCCATAATTTATACATAACTTTATTAAATCATTAAAAATTAAATAAAATATATTCTCAGGATAAAAAACTTCCACTTTTCCTATACTGTACAATGTATATGTTACATTATAACATTCTAGGTAAAAATTTCAATGTATATGTTGTATTATCACATAATAGATAAAATTTTGATTTTGTCTAAAAAGAAAGTAAGGTCCTCCCTATTTCTTGATTTGAAACAAGAATTAGAAACTTATATCCCCCTACAGTTGTTTTACTGATTATTCTTAGAAAACTCCCTCCTTTGTTTTTTTCATTGCCTCATTTTTTATATATCCATATAGTTTAAATGACATTAGAAAGACCTTATATCATGGTGAATATTATACCAGTTGAGAAAATTATTTCCAATCCATGCTTCATTGAGTGTGTAGGTAATTATATAGTTAGGTACAGCCTTGATAAAGATTGTAAATTTATTGTTTACTCGAATAAACTATGTACAGCTTGTGCTGCTTACTTAGAAACTGTTAGGAACCCAAAACTGTCTTCTGATATAAAGATGGGTGTGCTGATTTAGTTATCATTTATCATGGAAAAAGGAGTACTAAAAAAAAAAAATCTCCTGTTTCAGTTTAAGTGTCCTGTGAGCAGACCTTCTAGAGATGCTACTGGCAAAGAAAGAGTTTAAATTGTCATATAAAATTAGATTGATGAGCTCTGATTAATATTTTCTAATCTCACTAGGCTCTTGTCTGAACAGTCACACAAAGATTATTAAAGAAAATCAGAGATTTAATTCAGCTGAAGTAGGGATCTGAGTTAACATTCTTTATCACTAAAATTAAAGTGTTTGTTTTCCAGTAGGGTTTCGGCTTGTTGTCTTCTTTCCTTTTCACATGACCTATCAGAAGCAGGTTGTCTGCTGTTAATAAAAAACACCCTGGGGAAAATTCTGAAGAATCACTCCTTCAAACATGCCTCATTTTATCTACTTTGCATACTCATTCTCCAAGATATTCTTATACAGATTGAGATCAATACATTAGGGTGTCTAATTCTTATTACCTACACAAATCACTCTTTTCATTAACATCAAACTTACATTAGCAATTATTATCATATTACCATAATTATATCATTATTATAACTTAAACTTGCAGAAAATTTATTGCCCAAATCCAATCCTATCAAACAACTCAGATGTTGAAACTTGTTATAAATAGCAGGCCTCTGTTCTCCTTTCTAGCCAATAAAGTTACTTTCTGTTACAACTTACATACTGAGCATTAGGACAGCTTTCTGTAATGCCACATCCATTATTCAGTTTTCTTACATGAAACAAGTTGAAATTTTGTTCTATCGAGCAAACAACAAACCTGTTAGGCTAGAAGACTTCTGGCTGGTTGCCTTCTTGAGCAGATGCATTCACCTTATCAAAACCTTGTGAGGCAGATGGTGTTGCCACCTCAGCTGTGGTGCATCATTTGAAGTAGAAAAGTTCATATTAGGAAGAGGTATAATCAAGCTGAATAAAAGAGGGGAAAAATCATGGCAAAGAGAGAAGGTTCTCACTCTATAGGAAACGCAGAAATGAGGTTTTCAAAATGATAGGATTATCTCAGTCCCTGGAAAATGCATTAGGCTAATTCCTATTTGAGTTCAGTTCCAAAGGCATGAAGGAGAGGCCATCAGGAATAATTGAGAAGGGTTCACAGAGTCATCCAGTGTAAATGGCTACAATGAAATGACTAGCTACATGGGCAGGTAAGAGTGGTGTAATACACATTTATTGAAGGTACACATGTGAAATTTATTTAAGTTTTGAACCTCTTCTCCATCCCCTCACTTGGAACTTGAGAAAGTGTTAAGTAGGTTGAAGATTGTCTGGTCAGCTGTATTTAAAGGGAAAAGCATATGCGTTTCCAGTCTGGCTTGCATCCACTGATGAATATTTCAATTAACAACTCTAGGGACTGATACTTGACAGAAACCTCAAGAAGTTCATCAGACAGCAGTGCCAAGTTCTGCACCTGGAGTGTAGTAATTCTGTGGTATAGGATAGGAAACTACTGACTGGCGAATAGCCTCATGAAAGGTTTCTGGCAGTTGTAGAGATTTGTGACAGTTTGGGCTGGGACAGAGTTAATTTTCTTACTAGTAAATAGTGTGGAGCTATATTTTGGATTTGTGCTGGAAACAGTGTTGATAACAGAGGGATGTTTTAGTTGTTGCCGAGCAGTGCTTACATAAAGTCATGGTCTTTTCTGCTCCTCACTCCACCCCGCCAGCAAGAAGGCTGGGGGTGCACAAGGAGTTCTGAAGGAACTCAGCTGGGACAGCTGACCCCAAATATTCAAAGGGTTATTCCATATGGTGTCATGATCAGAATATAAAGCTGGGGGAAGAAGAAAGATGCAAGGAACACCTAGATTGATGATGTTTTTCATCCCAAGTAATCATTACGCATGGCGAAGCTTTCCTGGAAATGGCTGAATTCCTGCTGATGGGATGTGATGGATTCCTTGTTTTGCTTTACTTATAGGCACAGCTTTTGATTTACCCCTTAAACTCTCTTCATCTCAACCCAGGAGTTTTCTCACTTTTACCCTGCTGATTCTCTTCCCTGTCCCACTGGTGGGAGAGAGTGAATGAGTGTGTGGTGCTTAGCTGGGGTTAAACCACAACAAGATTCAGCTCTGCAGTGAATTTCCATTGCAAATATCAATATTATTCTAATATATTTGGCTCTACTAGAAGAAATATAGCTACTATATGGAGGGAAGTTATGATTCACCAGTAGCTTGCACTGCTGAGGCCACACCTAATCTGCTGCATCCAGCATTGGTCCTCTTTTTCAAG